AATTCAGGTCGCCCTGCACAATAACCAGGTGGTGAGTGGGGTCAGACGCCGCCGCGACCCGATACTTGTCGATCTGCTCACAGACCATGTCCACCTGGGTGCTCGTGAGGCCGTGGTTGTGAATATTAAAATGCGTCAGCTGAAGGCCACGTCTATGCACATCAACTTGTAGGACCCTTCCTGGGATGAGCGGCGTGGCACAGCTGGACGCAGCTCCGTCAAGAGCAAGTCGAGGAAGAATGGTAGCGACACCTCCAGCACCCGATCCCCCTTGATCAGCTGCACAAAACGAGGCGTGGACTACGGCATGGGAATGGGCCTGAAGCACGAACTGCTCCAGTTGGACACGATCGGCATGAACTTCTTGCATCGCCAGCACTGTGGACTGCAAGTGAATCTGCTGTAGATATCGTAACTTGGGAATGGCCTTCGCGCCGTGGTACTGTAGGAGCGCACGCGCGTTCCAGGTAGCGCATCTCAAAGCAGAGCCCCCATCTCTAGCTTGAGGAAGGTTGAACATCTGTAGCATCTCGTCAAAGGCACCACTGCGGAGGTGGCGGTGGTGCAATGGTGGATTGGACCAGCTCACGGATCTCGTGCTTGGCGATGCCGATTTCATTGAGGCCCTCGTCGTTGTAGCGGATGTCAAAGGGCTGGTCGTCAGGTTGGGCGGCGAGCTTGAGGATGTGCGTCCACCCGCATCGTAGGACACCACGCTCCCTGTCCACAACCCAGCGTCCGTCGTATTTGCCAGCCATGGCTGTGCGTAGCTTCCTGAGCGCCATTCCCGTTTTGATCTGCTTTGGGTTTTTGTCTGGTCCGAGATGGAGACGAGCAGGAGCGGATCCTGAGACCTCAGCTTCGAAGATACGCCATTCATCATTCTGCCTGAGATTGGATAAGACTTTGTTGACATATTTGGAAGCCAGTCCCACACTGCCGTTGAAAGAGACCAGGTACCTTCTACTTGGCATCGGTCCAGCGGACTTGATAGAGTATGATGAAGCGTCCAGGCCCAGTTCCGACAAGAAAGGGGTAAGTGATGCGCGCACAGAGTCGATCCCAACCATCTTCGTAGCCATTGCGACGACAATCGAGGGGTCTTCAGCACGATCGAAGGAGGGCGGCACTGTGGGAGCCTTCTCGGAGCGTTTGGCGACCATGAGCTCGCTGCGGAGCTGCTCCATCTGCTGGCGCAGGTTGGCGAGGTCCGCAGTGTGCTTCTCCACATCAATAGAGAGCGTGTTGATATGTGAGCCGAGAGCGTCAATCTTGGACTGTAGGCCGCGGTGAATGGAGTCAATATGCGGGCGGGCTGTGGCCATAATCTGCTGGTCGATTTCTTTCGGCTGGGCGGTGATCTGCACTCGCAGCGATTCCAGTGTGTCAAGAATAGATTTGTTTGAAGATTGCACCGTTGCTCCAACGGTAGATCCCACAAGAGATTCCAGTTCGGATCGTAGTTCTCCGAATTGTTCAGCGACTGCGTTAGCTGCAACGTGTCTGATATAGTCATCATCATATTGTGGCTGCTGCGGCGGATGTGAGGCGGGGTCACGATGGGCACCAGCAGGAGAAGAACCAGGAGTACACTGAGAATCACCACGACCACCGAACAGAGCGGAGCCAACAGCCCCTGCTGCGCGGGCGGCCATGCCAGCGACACCCTTGCCCCCGGAGATGCTACCCTTGCCGTCCTCAGAGCGCAGGTATTTGTGCTCGGGCGAGCCACGGTCTTGACGGTCATCCGCCTGGTCATCATCAGGAAAGGTGGGCATGTCGTCGAGCTCCTTGGCCACCATGGCGAGCGAAGCAGCGTCAGGGAGACCCATGGCGCCAGCACCGCTCGACAGCACAGGAACGGGAAAAGCCTCCGTTTACCCGTGGAGGCGAGCGACAGGATGAGGAAGAGATTCTGCCAGACCGCAAAGGGTCTTGCCAGCCGCGGACTAGCGGTATCCACTTGTTCCCCTGTGGAACCTGGCATCTTGAGCCAAAATGGCTACGGACCAGGAGGAGGAGGAGGAGGAGGAGGAGGAGGAGGAGGAGGAGGAGGAGGAGGAGGAGGAGGAGGAGGAGGAGGAGGAGGAGGAGGAGGAGGAGGAGGAGGAGGAGGAGGAGGAGGAGGAATAGCAGCAGGAGGAGCAGCACCAGCAGCAGGAGAGCGGGGAGGAGCAGCAGCAGGAACAGGAGGAGAGGGGGGAGGAGGAGCATAAGTAGGAGCAAGAGGAGACGGGGGAGCAGGAGAGCGGGGAGGAGCAGCAGGAGAAGGAGGAGAGGGGGGGAGCTCGAGCGAGTCACAGGGCCCCGCCCGCTCCCGCCGACTCGCTCGAGCTCCAGCTCGCCAGCTCGAGCGAGTCGCAGGGTCCGCCCGCTCCCGTGCCCTGGGGTCCTTGTTACTCGCCCGAGCTCGAGCGAGTCACAAGGACCCAAAACACGAGAATACCCGTACTGGTTTCGCCGGCTATTCCCACTCGCGCGGGCGCGCGCCAGCCTCGCGAGCGGGCCGGCACTCGCGCGCGCACGCCCTGCTCGCGAGCTCGGGAAGGGAGAGCACGGGCTGCGCACGGGCAGGAGCCGAACCTCTGGGGAATCCCAGCGCGGCGCACCGTTCGGCCGACTTGCGCGCGGCCGCGCTTCCGGCAGGGCTGGCGATGCAGAAGAGGCGCCGCGCCAAAGCGGGAGCACAAGCTTCCTTCAAGCGAACATCTGCCAGGCGCCCAGGCGAGACGGACACTGTGCCCGCTCGCGCGCGGCCTCGCCTCCGCTTCCGACGACTGGTCGGATGACATATCGGCGCCGCGTCCAAAGAGGAGTGCCACTTCGAGGCGAAATCTGCGAGGCGCTCGGGCGGGAACTACCTTTCGCACGCTCGCGCGCGACCCCGCTGCCAACGAACGGGTCAGCGACATCTATGCTCTGCGCCCAAGCGGAGGCGCCACTTCCAGGCGAGATCTGCGAGACGCTGGGGTGAGAGCAGCATCTCGTCTGCGAGCGCGCGAACTCGCTGCCGACGACTTGGCAAGCAACGAACGGGAGCGCAAGGGGGCTACAAGACGGCCCGACGAACGCTCAAGAGTGCATCAAGAGGGGAGCATTCTGGCTCAAGAAGGGCAGCGAAATTGGCGCCGCACCCTTCGCTCAAAGCCAACATTATTGAACACCTCAAGTTGATGACAGGGTTTTGCGTATCGGGGGCATCCCTGGGAGGTGCTTGCTCCAAGATGGCTCCAAGATGACTCCAGGCAGCTCAAGATGGCCTCCAACATGGCGCAAGACGATCCAAGTTGGCTAAACGTGTCCTCCAGCATGCCTCCAAAAGGTCATAGGGCCCCCAAGACGGCTCCAAGTGGCCACGGAGCGGGCCAAGGTGACCCCCGAGAGGCCAACCTTCTGCGCTAGCCTACAGCACAAGCCGTGGCCGTTGTCTTCTCGCCTTTTCGCTTCCGAGGGGCCTTCGAGGCCTCAGGACGGCCTGAGAGAGCCCCAAGAAGGGCTCATAAGAGGCCCAATGCGGCCCCAAGAGCACCCCAAGAAGGCCACTTCGAGGCGACTGCTTGGGAGCTCCTCCAACCGCTTCTCGACCTCGGCGTCCGGGGGGCTGACACGCCCAAAACGGCAGAGCGCCAAGAGAGCCCCAACACAGGGCGTAAACGGCCCTCCCAAAAAGCCCCAAGCGGGCTCCAAGGTGGCTCCTAGAGGCTCCAAGAGATCTCGAGGTCCAGCTCGCCTGGGAATCGCTTCTGGTTGAGCTGGCGGGGAGTCGCGAAGCGTCAGGCATTTCTGGTCAGACTGGGCTTCAGGAGTGGCCCAGGGATCGACTTCGAGAAGGGCGGAGCGCGCGCCGTCGGTCCGACGGTCCTTCGTATACGAAGGCAGCGCGGGCGGGCCAGGGCCCAGAACCGGGGCACGACGCGGCACTGGGAACTTCATTTGGAATCGGAACGGGAGGGGCGAGGAGGGGCGAGGAGGGAGGGGGGCGAGGGAGGGAAGGGCGAGGGAGGGGCGAGGGAGGGACGAGGGAGGGAGGGGCGAGGGAGGGAGGGGCGAGGGAGGGAGGGAGGGGCGAGGGAGGGAGGGAGGGAGGGAGGGGCGAGGGAGGAGGGGCGAGAGAGGCAGGCCCGGGGAGGGAGGGGGATGCAAGGGAGAGGGAGGGGGGCACCTCCCCCACGAAGACAGGCCCGAGGAGGTTGGCCGTGTGCCTTGTGAGGGGCAGGTGGGGGGAGCAGCAGAGCGCACAGGAGCTCCTAGCACGAGGCGGTGCCAACCAGGGTCCAGGAGAGGTGCAGCGGTCGCCTCTGATAGGAAAAGAGGGAGGGGGGCGGCGAGGGGGGCAGGTCTGGAAGGGGAGAGGGGGGGGATGCAAGGTCGAGGGACGGGGGCACCTCCCAACACAGATGGGACCGAGGAGGCTGGTTTTGTGAAGGGTATGTGGGGGGAGCAATCTAGGAAGAAGGAAAAGCGACACCACCACCACCCAGAGGCGCGCAAACATGGAGTGGCGATCCATGGATTTGGCGCGCGGTCGCCAAATCCATGGATCGGGGGAGGCGCCCTCTCCAAAATGCGGCCGGTGCCGCTTCCTTCGGCGGCGGACATTCCGCGATTTCCCATGGAAATGGGACCCGTCGCTAATCCACGCCCCCTTGATCCATGTTTGCGATCGCCTGAAACACCAGGGACCACCAGCGGGAAGAGCCAGGTGGGTCCCCCTTGCCCTTGGTGGTGTGGTCCCCCCCCCTCTCGCTCGAGACATCCCTAATCCTCAGCTCGGGGAGGCATCGTGGGCCTCCTCGCCCTCGCTGCAGGTGGCCCCCCTGGTCGCGGTGGTGGTTGGTGTCGCTTCTCTTTCCCCCGACAGTGTAACGAACAGGAGCTTCTAGCACGATGCGGTCCCAACGAAGGTTCGCTTGAGCAGTTGATGGCCCAAGAGAGCTCAAGGAGTCGAGAGAGAGAGAGAGAGAGAGCGACTCCGATTCCGACTAATTGATGCTGCGTTTCGGGGCCAGCGGCATCGACGCTGTCTCCACATGGAGCGAACAGATCACAAAGAGGGAGGGGCATGGGTCAAGAAAACTCGGAAGTAGTGTAGCGAAAGAGTTTTGAACTGCACCAACATCACGAGAACCAGTCGGCTCCATTGTACACCCGCGGTGGGTGGCACTATCCTCGCATCTAACTGTGGGAAAATTCACTCTCTAAAACTCCTACGAAGCTCCCTACATCAACCTTCACAGAAACCGTGCAATAATCTAGGCGTTTCTTGAGTTGCTCAGGAGGGGTGGCCTGTCCAGGTGATGGCCGCAAGGCGAACAACGAACACGTGATGTATAATCATTCGTTCGTGGCGGCATGCATGCACAATTCCGTGCCCACAAATTCTGCTGCATCGTCACTGAGCTCGCCAAGTTTTACCGCCAACTTTCGAATCGCGGAAACACGCGCGCACCCACGCAATGCTTGAAGACGGGCATGATTGTACCATTCAACGCCGCTGCAAGCGTTAACGAATCGCTGCTGGAACTCATCAGTAACTGCGGCGATGACAGAACCAGGTACAGCACTTACGTGGCGCAATGCAACCTGTCCAAGAACGTCTTTTGATAAGTCTCCCGCGTCAGCATGATTTGACCCAATATCCAACAGCGTCTGAATGTGGTGGCTCACTGCCTTGAGCGACGGTGCATCAGGTGTGTACTCTGCCCTGTAGCCTTGGTAACGGCTCACCTTCAGGTTATTTGCAGCACACTCCAATGCACTCAACATATCAACCAGGCACCCAGGCCGCGCCTTTGCATGCGCTTCAAGTAAAGTGCATAACCAGACAAACCCTGCTATGCTCTTAAACTTGGTGGTGCCTTCGTAAAGCTCCCCCATCTTTTGGAAATGCTTCTCGGACACGCTTATGAGGTCTTCGCTCCTAAGGGCGTTGCACAGTGGGCCATCAATAGCGGAGCCATAGAGCTGCCAAGTTTCAAGTATGTCATTTGCTACCAGCTGCGCCTTCTCATTCGCAGTGGTGGCAACACTCACGACCATTTGGCAGACGTCGGTGTCTGACATGGTTGAAACCGCCGGGCGGTGGCCAACAAAGGCTGCAAGCGAACGTGGTGGTGAAATCGCATCCAGACACTGACGAATGGCGAGGAACGTACCCTTGGTCGTCGCAGTCAATCTCAATGCGGCACCAGCCTCCTCTGCAACATCTGCAAGGTCCCACATGTCTGCCAGAAGTGTCGTTTCAAGGATTGTTGTGGGACCGAGTGCGCCCCATTTCTGCTCTGGCCATGGGCACGGCGAATATAACCTGCACAGAAGCACACCCAACGCCACATGGCTACACCGCGCAGGGAGGTGCTGGATCTCCACTTGGTCAAAAGGGTCAGTACACCAACGGGTGCGGGACGCCTGCAAGTGCGGGATGACGTCGAGGATAACCGCGTGGACCCAATACGTACGCTGCACTTCACCATCAGTCACCGGCAACGCCACCGGCTTGCTCCGAAGAATGTTCGCCCAAGGACTCGCACAGAGTGCATGGCACTGGGCATCGTCTACACATCCCAGGCCGCCTGGTGGCTGCAGAGCCACGAAAACAGTATCAACTCGTCTCCGCAACTCTGCGTTTTCCTCGCTCAGCCGGCGGACCTCATCATCGTGCTCAGTAACGAGCTCGGACTCAAGGGACTTGAATTTCTCCTTCACTGTACTGCCAAACTTGCCGCCAGCTGGTATTGCAGCCATCTGCGCACTGTCTGTGCTGTTCGTCGTCGTTTGACGAGTTGGGTCACGATGGGATGGGATGCTGCTGTCAAGATGAACTATTTGTTTATCTTAAGGTAAGTGCAAATCCATCTTGATCAAACATTGCTGCGGCCTGATGACATCACGATACGATGTTGACGGTGCGAACGATCGGTTTCCCGGACCTGATGTCGTGGGGCGTCAATCGCGCGAACGTCGATTCGCCTCGTCGGACATCCCAAGCAAGACCCTCCATGCCGTAGCATGCCTGAGCATACTGCCGGAGGCCCTTCACTCATCTGTACAACGTCGCCCTTGCCTTTGTCCCGCGCCCACCCCTGGCTTTGGAGGCGGCTGGGGGGTCTGAACTGAATGGGCCCCGAGCAAATCGGTCAACTGTGAGAGTGAAAGCAAATGTGCTCAAGATCGGTCCCTGGACCAGTTTTCCACCCCGGATCCGTTTTTGATGTTTGACGGTCCTGGGGCCGGGAAAGCCTCGAGAGACCGAGAAAGGTAAACGAAAATTGCTCGAACCGAAAACCTCGAACGTACCCTCCCTCTTCCTGCTCGCTGGAACCAATGCTGGGCCACCTGAGAGCCCCCGCCGGCTCCAACTTGCCTTTGCCCCGCGCCGCCCCCCAAACAGGCTCTCGAGGAACCCTCGCCCTGTTGGCCATCTCAGGTTACTTTGGATCGGCTACGCGTAAGAGTAACCCCAGGCAAGAGTGACCTTTGGTGCGCGGCGTGAAGCGAGGGGGACAAGTCCAAGCTCGCAAACCAATACTGGGGCAACCCCTGCGGGCCCGCTCTGAAGGTCACTTCTGCGAGGGGTCACTCGCACGCGCAGCCGATTGGTGATCATGTTTCCGTGTTCCCTCACTGCTCTGGCTCCCCAGGCCCTTGGTGCCCTGATCCACCCAGGCTCCCCTGCCTTGGGGAACAAACAATGACATGAACAGAACAATTCGGAGGTCTGCGTGGACCTCCGAGTTTTTATGTATGTGTCGCTTTTCGTTCCCCCCATTGCCTCCTCCTTGAGCTTCGCATCCAGGTGGTCTTTGGCTTCAGTCGTTAGTCTTCCCCCCACCAAGACAACAGACGACCTCATTTTCTCAGTGCGCGGCCCCAGAGGTCCCGACCCCTTCCCCAGGGTTATGTTGCCTCCATCGTGCTAAAGGACCAAAGCCCAGAAATGATTTCGAGCACCCAAAAAAGTATCAAACCAGTGTCGAACGAGTATCGCCTCCCAGAACCCGACACGTGAATGCCCTCCAGCTTCGGTACTTTCTTGGTGATCGAATTTTTCTTGTGATTCAAGCTACAGTAGGTCGGAGCATCATAACCCCAGGACGAGTTTTTCGTCCCGGATCTATTTGGAGAGTCCCAGCCAACATCTGGAAATCGGAGTTGGATTGAACAAACCGTCGAAGATCTGGGAACAGCGCTTGCGCGGGCCGCTAGCGTGGCACATCGCGTGGAGAAAAGGGCGACCGTACACGGGAATGGGAAACCCAACAGGTACCGATACTGCTACTCCACGGGCCTCTCACGGGGTGCTTTTCTGACCAGAATTCCAATACGAATCCAGTGGGGGCGACGAAGGCCCCCCAAGAGCCCCAACAAGACGGAAACGAGATAAGGGTAGCGGTACCAGTACCTGTTCCTCCTCCTCTGAAGGAAGCTTGCGCGAGAATGTCCGCGCAACCGACCCCAGGACCATCCCGGATCCATCTGGCTCCAGAAATGGCGCAGAAAGACGGGGTCTGCACTTGCCGGGATGTTGCCTTCTTTCGCAACGTCGGATCTCAGGACTCCTCGGGGATCCGCTTGGCGCCCAGACCTCCGACGCACAGTGGGGCCTTCTCAATCTGGACGTCCTTCCTCGATCCCAGCCCCTCGGGGGCCGTTTTCGGGCCTCGGGTCCATCAAAGATCGATTCGGAACGAAGTGCTAAGCCCAGGGGAGCGGTCGGGATCCACTTCTGGGCCGCGGATTGAAAAAGATCAGATCGGCGGATGTCAGGGTGTGGGTCCTTCCGCGCCAAGCGTGGAGGCAGGTGGGCTAGCAGAGCGCCGGGCAAGAACAGGCCGAGACTGGGGCAAAGTCGGAGTGGGACAAAAGCGGGGGCCCCTGAGATCCGGCGGGTCTGGAGGACGTATCGGGCGCCGCGGCCGTCCCCGAGAGCGCCGGAACGCTCTGAGAGCGTGCGCTCTGGAACGATTTACAGTCGGGGCGTTGACTTAAGGAACCCTGGATAAGGAACGAGGCCCCTGTTTCCCACAAGTTAAACTATCGATTTCCCATGCAAGACCTCAGGAACAGCTAAGGCAAACTGTACAACAACCAAGGAACATCGAGCCCCTCCGCAACGAGAAGGGTTCCTTCTTCAAAGTCCCGACTGTATCCTGGTCCGAGACAAGGCCCTTCCCGGACCAGGTCTGTGCCGGATCATTCGGGGTCCGAGGTCTGAGGTGTTTAGTGAAGCGGGGGGGTCGCCTGGTGCGGCGGCGGGCATCTCCTGTGTGCACCTGCTCGCCGCCCCCACCCTCCCGGAACTCCGACGTCGTGTGCTTTTCGCAACGTGGACCCCTGGAGGTCTTGACCCCTTGCCTGAGAACGGTACTTCATCCCGCCCTGACTACGGACCCGCCATGTTCTGGGCGACTTGGCAAGCAGGGCGGAAATGCCCGCCCTACTTTTTCAGCTCCGCTGATGCCGATTTCCGCTCTACTTTTCCGTCGCTAGTTGCGCCATACTTTTGCGAAGCTATCGGCCCTACCTTTCTGGAACGGACAGTCCCGCCCCACTCGTTCGCATCGTTTGGGGTGCATTCTTGACATACGGCGGATCCCAAACAATACGGCGGATCCCAAATCAAGGACTGGTTTGTCATGCCGAGTGGCTCCTGTCCCCACGGGCCAGAAACTGCCGAAAGACCCCAATCGTGTTCTTTGATTGTGTCTATGCCCATGTTGATGTATATGTCTATGCATATGCATACGCATATGTACATGTATATGCATGTGCATCTACATATGTGTCTCTCAGAAGTCTCTTGTCCTGCAAAAACCACAGCGTTACTGTGTTCCAAAACCGGTTCTTGACGGTCCCGGGGCGCGGCGAGGGCCCCCGAGAGCCCGAAAACAGCCAAACACCTTCCGTCGTGATTCTGTAAGTTGTTCCGCATCGAGAGCAAGGCTGGGTCCGAGGACCCCCTCCTCGTCCTCCTCCTCCTCCTCCTCCTCCTCCTCCTCCTCCGCCTCCCTCCTCCTCCCTCCTCTTCTTCTTCTCCCTCCTCCTTTCTCCTGCTCCTCTCTCCCCCTCTTCTCCTCCCTTTCCTCTCCCTCCTGGTCCAAATTCTCCTCCGTTGCAGCCACCCTTCCGGCCTTCCTGACGATCCAGGCGCCTCTCGGACGCCACCCGAAGCCTGCGCGGGGGCCCAGCAGCGGCCAAGAGGAGCCAAGAGGGCAGGCGCGAGCGGTCAGAGAAGCAGGCTGGCGAGCCCGGTGCGCTGGCTCGGAGGGTAGAAGTCTCCGAGCATCGGCAGCGATATCGTGCCGTAGGCAGCCTCGCCGCACGAGGAGGGGGAGGAGAACGAGCGGAGCGACCCAGAGTTCTGCGGCGGCAGCGTGGCCCCGTCCTCCCCTCCTCTGCGTTATCACGTTCCTGGGTCCTCCCTCGTCTCCATCTCTCTCTCTCTCTCGACCTCTCTCTCTCTCTCTCTCCTTCCCTCTCTCCCTCTCTCTCTCTCTCTTTCTTTGGCGCTTCCTATTTGCTGTTTTCTCGCTGCTGTTCTTCCGCTCCCCCCCCCAAGCGGCGAGGGGCGCTAGGGGGGCAGAGCTACGACTTTTGAAAGGACCAGAGCCCCCACAGCAACGAGCAACAAGGAGGAGACACAACATCAGCAACGAAAAAAAGGAAGATGAGCAGCAGGAGCAGGAGCAGAAGAAGGACGAGGAGCGGGAGGAGGGATACAAATCCTGCCGCATGCGCTCACCATCAAATCCCAGACCCCTCTTAGGGGTCCACCCTGGCCTGGTTGACACCCTGGGGCCAGGGGCCCGAAACGCGCCTCCATAAGCCGCAAAGGACGAACCGAACTCCTCGGCCCCCAGGCCTCTCCTGGGGTCCACCCTGGCCAGTCTTACGCCCCAGATCGATGTCCCCAGAGCCCAGAACGGTCTTCCAGAAGCCGACTAGGGCGGCAAGGACGGTTCGATCCTCGAGCCTCCTCTTCCAGAACTCTAGGACGAGCACTAGCGAGCGCAGGAGGAGGAGGAGGAGGAGGAGCAATTACCCCAGTGCGACCCTACCTAGGAGTTGGAACCCCTAGGAAAGCAGCATTAGTAGTAACGGTAAACGCCGTCCTCCTCCTTCTCCTCATCGTCGTAGTTGCCTTTGCTTTCGCTTGTTTTTGTTTTTGTTTGGTTTTGCTTTTGCTTTGCCTTCGCACACACACACGCATGTTTTTGTATTCGCTCACTGAGCTCTCTGATCGTACTGTTGTACATTGCTTTGCTTAGCCTTTCCTTTGATGTGCTTTGGCTTTTGAGTTGCTTTGCGTTGCGTTGCTTGTGCTTTGCTTTGCTGTTGCTGCTGTTGATTTGCCTTTGCTTTGTTGTTATGTTATGCTATGACATGCTATGATATGCTATGCTATGCTGCGCTATGCTGCGCTATGCTATGCTATGCTGCGCTATGCTGCGCTATGCTATGCTACGCTAGGCTGCGCTATGTTACGCTATACTATGGTATGATATGAAATGCTGCGCTATGCTATGCTATGCTATGCTATGCTATGCTATGCTGCGCTATGCGATGCTATACTATGCTATGCTGCGCTATGCTATGCTGAGCTGGGCGATGCTATGATATGCTAAGCTAAGCTAAGCTAAGCTAAGCCAAGCCAAGCTAAGCTAAGATGAGATACGCAAAGCTAAGGTAAGGGGGCGCAACTGGGGGAACCGCGGGGCGGGGACCGGGGGAACCGCCCGGGGCGAGGAACACTGCCCGGCCCCTTTAAGCTAATAGAGTAGGACCCCTCTGGGCAGAGCCTTGGTAGGGAATTAAAAACATTACGACCAGGAGGTTTTGCTCAGCATGCCGCGGCGGCGGCGGCACCCGGCGAC